GGTTGAAACATTTTTTTTTTCATTTTAAAAGCAGTTTCGTATATATATATAATGATATTTAATGCGAATGTTCACCATCGATTAAAATATTTTAATCTTTTATTAGTCCATGAATTAGTATTAATTCAACATCAACATGAAAAAAATTTAACAACATATAAAAACTTTGAAATTTTGGTTTGTCGTGATTCTGAACGAATATCAAGCTCAAATCCAAAAAAAAATTTCATTATCAATTGATGACATTTATGATAAACAAAATGAAACATTTGATTATCCTAACCAACGATTTTCTACAAATAATTATTTCAATGATAAATCTTGTTTATCAATAATTAGTAGTAATTATACTCAAAGTCAAACTGATATATCCATAGTTCGTTAATTCTTCAAAATATCGACGTCAATGTTCAAAACTTGAACGTTTACTTCTAATAATAAAGGCCAATATATCAAATCGACAAAAACAAACAAATAGTACTTTACATTCAATGAACATAAACAAAGTTTTCCTGAAAAATTTCTATCGGTCAATAAGGATTTACCAAAAAAACATTTACCCGAAATACCACCTATGCAAAAACAAATTCAATCATTTATTGAATGTTTACCAGTATATACGGGTACTCAATGTGGTTTTGATAGTTTTGGTTCATAATCTCTTTATTCATTTCGACCAAAACGATCAGTATAAAATAACATTTAAAGATTCTATTTTAATATATTCCATGGAAAAAAACATTACATTTAGAATGTGTTCATCAAAGGCGTATATCAATACCATATCTGCAGAAATTTGAATGATTCGTCATGTAATATTAGTTAATGGAAACTTCTAGACAAAACAATGAAATATATTTAATGAGAATGTGATTTCATCATGACAAGATCCAAGCAAGGAAGTCCATTTGAAAGACAAAATAAAAGTTTGACCGATAATTAGCCATATTACAGTTAGTTATGGGTGTGGATTGGTGTGGGTGTGGGTCGGTGTGAGTGCGAATATAATTCAC